TTTTTTTTGGTTTTTCTCTGGTACCGGGAACTGAACTCACGACCTTGCGCTTGCCAGGCAGGCGCTTTTGCCGCTGAGCTAAATCCCCATCCCCCCAGCAACTTGTTTTTAAATTAAGACCTTAAAAGTTAAAAAATCAAAACAATCCCTATATTGAACTTTATTGTGTATGCCATCTTCTAAAAGCTCATTTAGGCCATGAAAAATGTTCTGTAAACAGTTTAAAAAATCATAAAACCCTTTATGCAAATATAAACCAAGCATCTTTTACTTTATGAAGATGGGATAATACTGTTAGTGCTGCAGGTAGCCCTTCAAATATGTTAGTTGTGCTGTAGCACTAGGTCCATTTCTCTCTATTAGTACTACCGCTAGCTAATAAGGCAAGGAATGTAGAACTACTGGCAGGATCAGACACATCACAGTTTTCCTTAATGTTTTATCTGCTTTGCAGGTTTTGCGTTGCTTACAGTTACTCCATTATAAATGGAGTTGTATATAAACTTGATAACTGTAAGATAATTGCCTTGAGTTGTAAGTACACTCTTGTCTTTTGTTTTCCCTGTCATTTAGGGAACAGTTATCATCATTGCAAATCATGGTGACAGAATTGACATCCCACCTGGAGCAGTATTAGAGAACAAAATTGTATCTGGAAACCTTCGCATCTTGGACCACTGAAATGAAAAATACTATATACACTTTATACTAATTATGGGCTAAAGAGTTTCTTACAGTGTAACCTCTAAGATTCTAAATAGGTACTTTATTAGGTTACTGTACCCTGAAGTATTGATTTTTAAAGTAGTTTTCTGCTTTTAGTCTAAGAAAAGCACAGATGGAACAATACTTGCCTTCTTCGAAAAGAATCCTAAAGGTTAATCTTAAAGTGCAATATTGTTTAATCATAAAACTGAGGCAGTCTGTTGGAAGATCTTTTAACAGAAGCCTCATTGACAGTCACTTTGAATTGCTTGTGATTTCAACAATAAAAAGGTGGAGCAATACATGTGTATACTTGGACTTTTTAATGCTAACTTTATTAACTGACAAAATAAAAGGGTTTACTTACTCTTAGAATATTTAAGAATCCACTAGTTATGTAGCAAGCCTAGTTTTTTGCATTTCTACAAATTTTAAACACATTATTTCCACAGGAATTTAACTTGAAGGTATGTAGGATCTTTCATCAAGTTTTAAAGCTGGGATACCTGCCCTGCTTTCATAGACTCTCCATTTACTTAAAGTGATTGTCTCTTTTCCCAGCTGCAGGGGTGGGATGCGCAGAGGCAGGCCATTTCTTTCACATCCTTGTACTGTAGTATAGTGAAGCAAGGAGATAGTTTTATAAGAAGTTCCCTTTCCTTAAATAAAGCTTCACTTCTTGAAGTTTGCTTGTCACTGAAAAATGTTCACGAATAACCTTCTAAATCAGATCTGCTGGTGGTGAAATTTATACCTTTTCTTTAAGAATCAAGCATATTTTCCAATTCTTCCATACTTGGTTTCTGTAGACTACTTGTTTAAAGTTAACTGTATACTGATACTGTACCATTAAAAAAAGTTGTCCTTTAAAGTCTGGTAATTTTTTACAACTTTATTTTAGACAGACAATTTAAGAACCAATGACATACCTCTGTAATGATAAAGGAAAGGAAACAAGCTTTCCTTTGAGAAACCAAAGACACAAAATGAGACTTTCTTTGTACATAATCATCACAAGGTTAGGCACTCCGACACGGTCAGGCAAGACTCTCGGTGTGAGGTGAGTGAGGCACAGGCACTTTCATTTGTAGAGTGCTGCTGAGTCTGACTTTTAATTTTAAAGGTAGGCATTAAAAAAAATCTTTAAATAACTTACTCATCACCAGATATTTCTATAATATAGCAGTCTATATTGTAAAAGTTCTATTTCTCCCTGGTCTTTGCTCATATACACATCCGAAGTAACTTTTAAGAATCAGGGGGTGGGGGGATACTTCACATGTTATCTGTTAAAATGAGAACTCATAAGGAGGCATAGTATGTAAATACTACCTGTGCTAGAAATAAAATAGGAAAAAAAACCCAAACCCTTTATAGATTCTTTCATAAAAATACAGCTATTAAACTGTAGCCTTCTGTATACCATTTCTATAAAGTATTTAAATTACTAGTTGCATAAATAGATGCCAGTATCTTATTATTACTTGTAATCGGCCTTACACGTATCTGGACTGTTCTAGAAGGCCTCACCCAGTTGACATGTGGTGGAGGAAAGATTAAATATGTAACACACAAAGCCTGAAACTTGACATTAGTCACTAAAACAAAAATTGAATTCCTAAATCAAAGCAATCAAAAGATGTTTATTTTTTTATAGAAAGATCTGTAAAAAAATAATTTTTTTCAAACAGCTTTACTTTCATAGAGAAAACTTTCTACAGAGGTTGACTAAGATTTTAATATTTTAAATTGTACCATCATTAAATAAGGTGGGATACCATATGAATTTCATTGCACTGGAAGAAATGCAAAGCATTTTTAATATAAAGTATACAGAGCATTCTAGTCAACTACAGCTGTGTTACAGCTATGTGTTCTTTTGGATTTGGTCCAAAGAAACCTGAGTCTGTTTCCAGAGAGAATGAAAAATGTTATAGACACCTGATCAATTACTCCTCACTGAAGGATGCACTAAAATGGCATTCCTTGTAGATCCCACTGAATCCAGTTCCCAACACTGATACTTTCCTTTTCCCTTCCCCCACCTCAGTTCACTTTGAGTTCCAGGTTCAGTTCTCAAAACACAGGTATTCAGATTTTCTTCAGAAAGACATCCCATGGTCAGAGATGAACTACCCAGATGGCTAAGTATGACATCACCTCTTCTGTTCCCAGATCTCAGCCATATTTAGGTCCAAATCTTTAAGGCCTTTTAAGGCTTGAAGATTTCCAGTGTAAAAGGCTACATCTGCTGTGACCAACCTAAACATTGGAGAGAAAATTATTTTTAAAACTCACATTTTATATTTGAATAATGAAAGGAGCAATGCTCACATATTACTATCTGAGCTGCTAGAATATTAATATTCTGAATTTCTAGAGACATGTCAAGATATTTCTCTTACTTGGATTCCTACTGTCATAGTAAACCTTGTAATACTATATTTCAGTGATACTTGAAAAAGAAACCAATACATGTTGCAGTCAGTTTCATGGTAAATTCTTCCCAAGGGAGTTATCTTAAAATAGCATGCATTAAAAGTATGGAGAAAAGGGGCTGGGGATTTAGCTCAGCGGCAAAGCGCCTGCCTGGCAAGTGCAAGGTCGTGAGTTTGGTTCCCGGTACCGGAGAAAAAACCAAAAAAAAAAAAAAAAAAGTATGGAGAAAATAAAGTTCGAAGTTTTTTGATTAGCTATCACTAGGGTATATGTCTGTGATTAAAACAATAAGTGCAAAGGAAAAAAAGGCCAGGTGTCCTGAGCATCATTTTAAGGAGCTAAGTGAAAGCTGGGACTCATGTACGTATGTACTACTAAATCTAAAACTGGATTCAAAGGGCTGGAGGTGTAGCTCAGTGGTAGAGCGCTCGCTAGCAGGTGCAAGGCCCTGGATTTGATCCCCAACACCCCAAACCAAACAGAATAAACTTTGTTACTGACAAGATAACAACATGATGAAAAAGTACTCTTGTGTTCTGAGCTGTCACACTAGTGCCTACACCTGAAAAACACTTGACACTTAACTATTAAACAGAATTTTTAAAATTTTGACTCACTAAAAAATGGAGTATGCTTTTTAAAAAAAATTCATAAATCCTTATTTGCCAATGTTACATTGCTTAACCAGTCTTATTTCTTTTTCAGTTCAGTTATGATCTAAGGTTCAGAAAAAATTTTGAAAAATGAATTGTTAAAGGGTTAAAATTAAGTATATAGAACAGTTTAAAATGCGAACAGTAGATTTTTGTGTGTATGGTACTGGAGTTTGAAACCAGGGCCTCACAAATGCAGGCCAGGCAAATGTTCTACCAATGAGTTACAAACCCCGCCTAAACAAGAAGATTTTTAAACTACTATAAAAAGGAGAGCTCTGTGTGTGTGTGTGTGTGTGTGTGTGTGTGTGTGTGTGTGTGCGTGCTAGCATGTACATGGGAGCTTGGGTGTTAAGAGATTGAACTTAGGCCTCTGCACTCATCTACATCCATGGCCCTTATGTATTATCTATATTTGGAGGCAAGGTCTCACGAAGCTGCATGGGCTGGGTTCAAACTTTAGTCTTCCTGCCTCAGCCTTTTAGAGTACTGGAATAACAGGCCTGGTCACCACACCTGCAAGGGCCAATTTTTAAAATTAATGTCTATAGAGCAAGAATGACCATGCATAAAATACCTCAAAACCAAAAATGTTATGTGCAATTATTTCCTGGTCCGACAATCTAGACCTATATCTTTCACCATGGACCAAAATAAAATTAAAATGAATGAAAGATCTAAATATTAAAAGATAATCTGCTGGAAGATAAAACAGGTAAAACTCTTCAAGACATAGGCACAGGCAAGGAAGTTTTGAATAGAACCCCAATTGTGTATAATATGAAGAATCAACAAATAGAATTATATCAAATTAAAAAGCTTATGAGCAGCAAAGGAACCAGCAGAGTGAAAAACACAACCTATAGAAAGAAACAAATTTTGCTAGTGATTCTTTAGATAAAACTAATACCTAGAATATATAAAGAACTCAAAAAAATTAGACCCCCCCCAAAAAAAAAATACCCAATCAAAAAAATGGGCAATTGAAATAGAAGTACAAGTGGCCAGTAAATACATGAAAAAAATGTTCAGCATCTCTGGCTATTAGAGAAATGCAAATTAAAATAACCCTGAGATTCCATCTTACTCCAGAATAGCTACAATTACAAAATCAACATGTTGGTGAGGTTATGAGAAAAAAGGAATCATACATTTTTGGTGGGATTATAGACTAGTACAACCACTATGGATATCAGAAAGGAGATTTCTGAAAAAATGAAAACTAGAAATTCCATTTGACCTAGCTATTCCCTGTTTAAGTAACTTCCCAAAAGATTTAAAGACATTACAATGATACATGTCCCCATATTTACAGCAGTACAACTCCAATAGCTACATCTTGGAAGTGGCCTATATCTCCACCAGCAGATGAATGGATAAAAGAAATGTAGTACAATATTTATAAACAATGGAGTACTACCCTGCTATAAAGAACAATAAATCTGAGTCATCTGGAGGAAAATGGATGCACCTTGAGACCATAACGTTAAGTGAAGTAAGTCAGACACACACTTCAATATCACACTGTTTCTCTTTTATGAGAAACCGCAAGCATAAAGAATAAAAAAACAGATAAAAGGTAGAATGCTAGATTCTTTGCAAATGTGAAGGGGACTAAACAAAAGTCTAGGGAAGTGGAGGGGGGCTGTAAAAAGAGTATGTGTTATGTACATGTACAAACTACCTACAATGAATTGTAATCCCTATATACTGCAAATGTACTAATAAAAATCTGAAAAAATATTTTTGTACTTTATAAATGAGCAAATAAAACATTTGTGAAATGATGAATTTTACTTTTTAATAGCAAATCAATAGAGTGAAACTCCATTGTAAAAAATGAATAGAGTACTACTACATATGAAATGATCAGCTTTCAACTTGGTCTCAAAATAACTCATTAGTAGTCACTTGTTGATTCAGGGGACATTTACTTAAGGTATTCTTGCCTTGCAAATAAACTACAATAAGTACTGGTACGAAAAAATGCAACTCCTAGTATTAGGTAGAAATACAGTCCAAAATTCAAATAAATGTTGAGTGATATATTTTCAACTATGAGTTAATGTTCTAATAATAGTCTTATAATGATAGAATTACAATACATACACAAAGTATTGGCTTGGCACCTGCCACAAAGCACAGTTCATTCTCACTAAGAAAAATAGACTTTTACCTGTCCAGTTCCTAGAGCAACTCCTCTACTGACA